TATATATATATATTAATCAACTAAAGTCCTTGAACGGTTAGGACGTGGGCTGCCAACTCTCCGTATAATTATATTTATTTTGTAACATATGTAAATGAAGTTACATTTACGAGCATACCATTAAATTTCCATGCATTTTAATAAATTATAACATTATTTAATTTGTACGAAGGTTTATGTATCTAACATTTTAATTTTTATGTTAATAATAAAATATGGATATTAAAATGTAAGTACATATAATTAAATGGTATGCATGTAAATTATAATTTGTTTTTTAGATAAATTATAATTTTAATTAAAAAAATTACAAAGAAAGTTACTGCAATCTTCGTAAATCCTCAGCTTTGAATGATCAAGTTTCGTAAATTTAACCAACAGATCTCTTCTTCCCAATCCCCGGAAGTCAAGGCGACGGCGAAATGGCCGAGTTTGGGCTTAAGATACTAAATGGAACCGAGCTAAGGAGCGGCGATCTCCGCCTTCCAATCGCCGGGGGTTCCGTCAATGGCGAGAGAGTTCTTGCAATGGCCGAAGCTGAGGCTGCCGTCCGCCTCTTCGGCTTGTCTTTACCGGATTCCATGAAATCGGCTGTTCTCCGGCGATTGGGAAGCGGAGCTGATGATTTCCTGTCTGTCGAGTTCAACGAGGCTGATCTTCAGAAGAGGAAGATTCAAGAATACCTAATCGCCCTCGCTGATGAACTGGAAGGTTTGTTTCTCCTGCTACGATTGTTCCCTTGCCCTCAACTTTGCGTTTCTGGAGTTGTTTGTTCTAACGATTTTATGTTGGATGGAGCGTTTATTCGATTATAATGCGGGTTTGTAATGATCGATGGAGTTTGGATTAGTGTGAAGTACCAGTGGACTGGTATAACCCGTCAAAGCTATCTGGTATTTTGTTGTAAGTCTTAACCTAGATTTAATATTTTGTTCCTGCCTTTAAAACCCTACCGTCATGTGCAATCTCGTTTTATTCCGTTTTGTTATAAATCACGAGCTTCTTAAATTTCTCAGTGAACTTCTCTCATTCTGTAGATCACCATTCACCTTCCCGTAACCTACTCTCACGATCCATTGGAGGGATTAGTTTACTTGCAGAGGGTGTTGTCACCATCGCCAGAGGAGAGGAGGAGGAGGTCCGAGTGGGTGTATTAGGCTTTCGTCTAGGATGGGAAAAAATATTACATCAGTACTACGCACTTAGAAATACCGTGCGTAGCCAATAAAATCACGCCACGCGCGATAGGATAAAAAAACGGCGCAGTAACACGGGGAATATTCCTCCCCGTGTTATTCATGTGTTATTGCGTGTTATTCATGTGTTATTGATGTGTTATTGTGTGTTATTCATGTGTTATTGTATCATGAGAATATTCTTAGTGTTATAATAACACAATAACACATCAATAACACATGAATAACACACAATAACACTTGAATAATACGGGGAATATTCCCGACAGAGAAAAAACGGCGCAATAACACGGAGAATATTCTTCCCCGTGTTATTCATGTGTTATTGTGTGTTATTGATGTGTTATTGATGTGTTATTGTGTTATTATAACACCAAGAATATTCCTAGAACACAATAATACATGAATAATACACAATAACACATGAATAACACGAAAGAGAATATTCCCCGTGTTACTGCGCCGTTTTTTTTTCTCTGTCGCGCAGGGTATCGTGGCGTTATTTTATTGGCTACGCATGTTACTCTAGGTGCGTAGTACTGATGTAATATTTTTTCCTAGGATGGAGTGCTGCAGGGCTTTAGATCGCCCGAGTAGGTAACGGAATCCAGGTCTTCGTTGAGGAATCCGCCACCGATTTCTGCGTGCTTCTCTTTGTTAGGTGTAGGGGAATATTGGTAATCGTTATGTAGCTATCTAATTAATTTCTTAATACTTATTTAGTAGTTAAAAATTTTAGTAATTGTTAATTAGGATTAAAACAATTATTTATATTATTAAAAAAATATAGAAATTAGCGAATAATTTTTTATTTATAAATTAGTTGAAATAATAGTAAATTAATAACTTTGTTATAGATTTAGTTAGTTAATTAATTGATTTAATTGATTATAACTGGCTTGATTTTTATGAACTAATGCTGCTAAGATATTTACTAAGAATAATCATAAATTCATTTATCTTATTATTTATCAAGTACTGGCTATTATAGCATAAACTATAGTAATGAGGCATTAATAGATTAATCTAGATTATTAGTTTTGGCACCACATCACATCATCCTATTTAAATTTTGGTTAGATTTTACGTTCATTTAAATCCTAAACCATCAAATAATCTATCTAAATTTAGCCAATTTAGCTGCCATCATGCCAAATAGTTGCAGGAGTCGGCGCCCAAATATTTACTAAATAAAGATTTACAGGATTTATTAAATCGTAATTGAATTAATTCTTATTTATGGCTAAATAGCCCCTAAACGTGTCATATAGAATTGTTTTTTGCTGTTAACAGCTTGTTTGTCAGAATTTGGTTAGATGTAGCTTTAAGTCTGATATTGTGTCTTGCATACAATCGGTTTAAATAAAATCTTTGCAGATCAACTTGGGAATTTTGTCTCCAGGGAGAGCATTTGCACTCGTTTGTAGCCTAGCTTGAAGTTGAGGAATAGTATCGTGGCCTGTTGGTAGAGCAGTCTCTTTGAAGGTAGTAAGTCCCCTCAGGTCATGTGTTCGAATCCCCTTTTGGCTTGTTTGCCGGTAGTGACGGCGGTCCTCTCGAATAGTTATGCACATGAGGGTGGCTAAGGGCTCATATTAATGAAGCACTAAGTAAATTTTAGTTTTTAAAATAATTTATTATTTATTATTTATTATTATTATTATTATTTAAAAGGAAATCGATATTTGGCAGAGGCCCAAATATCGATTTCCCATGCGCTCAGGTCCTATGAGGAGAACCCCGTGCCATGTGCCTATAATTCGACCCCCCGCGCACCACGGGTGAGATCGAACCCTTGCCAGTGAGGACTTACAGTGACCCTGCCTATCAACTGGACAAGAAATGCGACAAAAAAAAAAAAAAAAAAAAAAAAAAATTTGCCTTTTGAAAAGTGAAATTTTTAAAATAAACAATAAAAAATACCACCATCTTTACCTTTTGAAAAGTGAAATGCACCTTTTCATGCACATTTTTATAACATCAATGCATTATAAATGTAAATATCAAACTTTGGATGTTAGATACGGAAATACATAGGGATTGTGTGGTTCGTATTTAAGTTTTCCTATATATATTTAGAGAGAGAGAGAGAGCGAGCTCCTATGGTGGAATTTATATGTATTTTGATACTTCAGTGAATGGAAGATGGATTTATGAGGCATATCACCTCTTTGATAATGGCAAATCAAAATCCCTCACGTTTGAAGTCATTTTGGTTCTTTAATAGATTGAAGGCTGAATCAAGCCTTGTTGTCTTTGAAACCTTGTTTGGCCATCATGCTCCCTAATGATGGAAGATTAATTTAGGCTTTAGTCTCTTAATCAGTGTTGCTAAAGTTTTAAATCGATTGATCAGATTTACGTTATGGGCATTGGGATTAAGGTCCATTTTTATTTGTATCGAATGAATGAATTTATGTTGGAATATTATGACTAGTGCAAATGAGATGTGAGTTGAATGGTGGGTTGACTTGAACGTTGATCCTATCGAGAGATTTTCTTCAAATCTTGACGGTAATGAGTGCTGTAATGTTTTTTGTCTTCAAATTCATGTTTCAGGATATGGTAAACTATGGCTACAGTTAGCTAAGCAAAAGATATGAACAATAAATTTAAATTAGTAGTGTCAAATAAGCCTTAATGTGATTGCTGTGTTACTTTAGAGTGTATCGCATCTCTTTATGTTGGGAGAGACTATCAATGTTTATTTTTTTTCCGAATTCTACTTCCACACTCCATTTCTTCTCTTTATTATAGCACATATGGATATCAATTTTTAAGCTGGCAATTTTAACAATCTGAAGGAAAAAATATTGAAAAATATAAAATATTATGATAGTAAAATCAATCGGATTTTTTCTGTGTATGAAAGCTAGTTTTGTGAGCATTTTAATTGAAACACACTTATTTATATGGTGGAGATGGGTGATATGCCAATTATTGAAACTTACAATTTTATCACATAAGTGTCCTGCATGTGTTGGGCTGTTGAGGTTTTTCTGCTTTTTTGACCAATGGAATAACCTTTTTTCCTTTTTTTCCTTTAAATGTAGTTTGCACAAATTTGAGGTGATAAGTGGTGCAAATGATGACTTTGATGCATTCAACTTGTGGCTTCTTGCTGCATCTCTTTTTATTAGTGTTTGCTATATCAGACCATTTTAAAAATCAAACATAACCAACAATTTTTCACAAAAGATTAGCAATTAAAAAAAGGAAGAAAAGTTTTCATACATACCACACAATTCTTATATATATTTACATTTTACATATCTAACACGTAAAGTTTAATATTTACATTTATAAGACTTAGGTGTTATAAACCTATGCTTGAAAAGGTATATTTCACTTTGAAATGTTAGTAAGAGTTGTGTTTTTGTTGTAATGTTAAAGATTTAAGTGTTATGCATGTCAATATGAAATTTTAAGTGTTAGATATGGTAATATATAAGAATTGTGTGGCATGTATGCAAATGACCCTATAAAAAAGATAATTGAATAAATAAACGAAGTTTGGCTGCTGCATGTGGAATGCAATATCTTGTCTTTGTGTTTAGTGAAGAGTACAAGAAAATATATGGTGAATTAAAACACCCTAAGCAAAAATTCTTAGTGACTCTTTTGAAGCATAAACACAATAGAAGGGTTAGATTGAGTTTAATATGTAAGACAATGCTTTATGTACATCTGGTTCTTATTTCTTATAAGAATTAGTGATTTTACCCATATCCCTTAATTTTGGTCCCATGGTTACTCTTTGTTGAGTCTAAAAGGATTGCTTTAATGGCATCCTTCGTATACTACTAATTAAGCTCATTAAGTGCTTAAATCAACTTAATTTTCACATTATTTGTAGCACATGACAGTAAGGATGTTGGTGGGAGATATACTTTTTATTAGCTGCTTTCATCAATCATTGATTTAGACTACCTTTGAATCATTTGAATCCCTGACCATGAATTCTATGTTGATGGTTATTATATGACCATCAAAACCAATCCTCTTGATTTAAGATTTGTGGTTAGGGTTGAACCTTTGTTAAAGGATCTATCATGTTTTCTTAACTTCAAAAGTTGAAAATAATCTCATTTACATTCACATGCATGACATATTTGCACATTATTAAAATAATATGTTAGGCCGGTGCCTATAACAATTTTGTTTTTTATTAGTTATTATTATTTGGTATAAATAGGGCTTATTATGATCAGGCGTATTTCATGTGTGATTGTTGTCTTGAGTTTTAGGCTTAGTGTTTGGGAGAAATCGCCTATCTCTTGAATTGTAGGTTTAGAGTTAGCGTTTGGGAGAGATCGCCTACCTCTCAAATTGTAGGTATTTATTCTTTATGCATTTTAGTTGTGTTGCCTGGTATTATTGAAATAAAATATTTCATTATAGTCGGTGAAAAACACGTCTTCTTTCCTATCACAATACAACCCACTTTTTTGTCAAAGCTTGCTTAACTGATCAAATCAATAAGTATTTTATAGCTTCTGTACATGCATGCAAATCTGGCAACGTTGATGCAAAGAAAGGTTATTGAGCCATTAAACCATAACGTTCTACTCTCAATTCAGGTATTATTCATTTGAATCAATTTTAATTTTTTTTGCATTCCTATGTATACTTTGCATTATAGTAATCTTTAGAAATATTAAGGAAATCAAATTGTATATGTGATTTATAAATATTGGAGTCAAATCTTGTTGATGCTTTCGACTAAGTTGTTTGTTCAACTTGCTCGATCTGATGAGCCCCATTTGCCTGACTAACAACAACAACTTGCTCGATCTGATGAGGTGTTAGAGCCGCAGTAGAAATATTGCCACCCCTTACATCAATGATAGGTTATAGGATAGGTGAAGTATGAAATGTCTCCTCTGCCTCCACAAACAGAGGTTCCGTAGGAGGAATCAGGGGATCTACATCATGAGCATTGTGTGGAAGCTGAGTGATTGACATATTGCCTGTGGGATAGTGACACCTTCAAGAGTATCCTTCTATTGATCAATAATGTCAATAACTTAGAGCAGATCAGGAGGAGGGGGAATCTCTACCTCGGGCTGAGCACTTTGCTTTTTTGGTTTTAGATGGGGGTGTAGACGGTGACATAGAGAATTGAAGTGACCGAACATATGACAATTTGAGCAATACGAAGGGAAATGCTCAATAACAACCTTTTGCCAATATACTTGGTGTTGCGAGTCTAACCAAATTTCTTCATGAGTGATTAAAGTGATGTCACTTTCAACAAGTACCCTGACTTCTGTGGGACGGGAAAAATTAAAAATAGAAATATCCATTTTGAGTGGCTTACCATAGGCCGAGGCAATAAAACTTTCACTTGTAACATATATATATATATATATATATATATCCTTTCTGGGCTTTCATGAAAAAAAATATATATATATAAACCATTTCAACTCCCATATAGGATATAATCTCTCTAATTTTAACATGATCATACTTCTAAATTTGCTCTCAACTACCTTTATCATTCATGGTTTGATCTTCGAAAGAGTTAGCACTAGAGCATATATTTACTGCTTTCAAATTAAGACTAATGATTCTAAACCATCAAAAATTTGGGATGAAGTATTATTTCAATAACAAGATTTATATTATGAAATTATTATGTCATGCAAACTAGATACCAATTTCATGATATTTAGTGTCTCACCACTTATACGAAAATAGTGATATTTTTACCATGTGGTTATAGGATGATTGATTTGTGAATCTTATAAAATGCTTTATTTGTGAAATTTTGTGCGGTTTATCTTGTGATTTTGTTCCTAATATCATATACATTACTTGAAAGCCAAGGTTTTGGTGATAGACTTGGTGTCAAATTTATGGTGTGAAAAGCATATAACAGAAGTGAGAATAGGAAGAGTTACAGTATTTGAAGCCCTTACTTGTCCCAATCTTCCTGGGCCTCTTGCCCTCTAGGGCTAAGATGATGTTCTTGTAGGTCACTCTTCAACGAGTCAAGTATTGGTTTCCTTCCAGGTCTCCTTTCATTCATTTTATTTTTAATTTTAGGTTTTTTTTAATGCTGGAATAAACCCATCAATTTTGCATGCCGGAGATAGGTTATTTAAGGAACTTAATTGGACATCTGAGCAGACACAAGTAAACAGCCTTTTTTTGTCATTGGAAAGCTTCCTCCGTAATTCCTAAAGTAAACAACTACCGCTGCTTCTACATTGAGCCAGTAGACTGATTTGTATCTTGATGCATTAACGTTCTGAATATACAGTTTATTTCTTAGCAACTAACTTAAAGCTATAAGTTTTAGGACCTGTGATAGGTTGTAATGATTTTTGTCATTAGATAAGTAAATAATCTCCACTTGTGACCATATCTCTTCAATGTTTTTGCTAATTTTGTCTTGTTGTAACTTGTAGAAAATAAGTGGGTGCCTGCTTTTCTACAACTTGGACTTGGCATGATCCTGCTTAGTTTCCAAATAGTTTATTGAAGTTTCTCTCATATATTTTTATTCTCAGATGACCCACTTGTTGTTTCGATCTTGGATGGGAGTGCCCTTCGAGTCTTTTTGGATGATGAGGATGATTTTGCTATGGTGGCTGAGAATCTTTTTACCGAACTAGATACAAACGATACTGGAAAGCTCAGTAAAAGTAAACTACAGGATGCACTTGACCATATGGGAATTGAAATGGGCGTTCCTCCATTTTCTGGTAAGTCTGATAGACTATTTTGCACTTTTATATAATTTTATCGGTTTTAGTAGAGAAAATTATCAATTGGGAAATAATTGGAAAAAGAAATAATGTCATTTCCACAATAAATTTTTTTGACTAGTTTATGCACTGATGTGGTTTTGACGCAAAGTTCTTCATCTTGTTCCATATTTTTTACAATTGATGCTCTCATAGTACCTTTCTAGATAATTTTAGCTTGTTTCTTGTAGGTTTTGGGAGGGGGAAAATAATTATTTATCTTCAATTTTATAGAAACAAGATAAATAGTGAGGATTGACTCTCACATTTGAAAAATAATAATATCAACTATAACTCCTCATGATAAAGAAGGAAACATGGATTATGACGTACCATTAATCTAAATTCTATAAATAGAAAATAGTAATAATAGAATATAATAAAAATAAAATTTCCCTAAAAATCTAACACTCCCATCAAGTTGGAGCATAGATTATCTATCATACACAACTTGCTTTCAAGAAGCTCAAAATTAGGTCTGGGCAATCCTTTGGTGAACATATCCGCTATTTATTGGCAAATAGTTTCATAATCAATCTTCTTTTTTATGAAGTGCCTGTCAATCTTTGCATGCTTTGTGCGATCATGTACATTGAATTTTATGCAATGCTTATGACTACTTTATTATCACAATATAACTTCATTGGCATGCTTATTGGAATCTTGAGCTCTTCAAGAATTCTTTTTAATCATAATATCTCACATGCTCCATTAGCCATGACCCCATCTTCTACCTCAGCATTACTCATTGCAACCACATTTTGTTTTTTACTTCGCCATGCAACTAATTTTCCTCACACATAGGTGTAGTATCCGGAAGTTTATCTCCTATCAATAAGTGAATCTACCCAATCTGTATCAGTATATGCCTCTATGCTCTTTTGAGTGGTCTTTTGAAATAGTAAGCCTTTACCTGGTGTAAATTTTTAGATATTTGAGAATTCTGTCGACTGCTTCAAGGTGTTTCTTATAGGGTGAATGTATAAATTGATTTACCAAACGCACAACAAAGGCAATATATGATCATGTATGTGATAAGTACTTCAACTTCCCCCACTAATTTTTGATATCTAACTGTATTCACTAGATTACTTTTTTTTCAATCTCCTTGTTTCTGATTGGGATCAATTGGAGTGATTGCAGGTCTACACTCACTCATCCCAATTTCACTGAGAAGATCAAGAACATATCGTTTTTCGATCGAACAACCTCCATGAAAAAAAAATACTTCAGAGATTCTAAGTCATTGTTTTAAAAAATAGATGATAGGGAAGTCTTCAAATAGTTCATCTCATATGTATCATTTCTGGTGAGAATAATATCATCTACATACACAATCAATATGACCTTCTCATCGTGTGAATATCTGAAGAACATTATATGATCTCCCTGCCTGCGAGTATTCCCTTGATCTTTAACAAATAGTGTAAATTTCTCAAACCATGCTCTCATTGACTGCTTCAAACTGTATAAAGATTTTTTTGTTTGACACATCTTTGTGTCAAATTTCTCACTAAATCCTGAAATCTTTATACACTTTTTGTCCAAGTCCCCATTGAGGAATTTTTTTTATTATCCAACTATTATAGAGCTTGGTTAAGATATGTAAGTGAAAGAAGAACTCTTATAAAGTTTAGTTTTGCGAGCGAGGCGAATGTTTCTAAATTATCAATGTCATAAGTTTGAGTGAATCCCTGAGCAACCAGTTGAGCCTTGTTCCATTTTATAGAATTATTAGAATTATGCTTGATTTTAAACATTTATTTGCACCCAATGGTTGTCGTTTTTTTAGTTGGTAGATCAACCAATTCTTATGTGTCATCTTTTTTCAAGGGTTTTCATCCCTAAAAAACAACTTTCTTTTACTTAGGGACTTTCAGAGCATCTTGCATGATATTAGGAATTTTCATCACGACAATTGTGAGGTAAGAGCAAGGAAAGTGGATGAGAGATTTTCATACGACACATAATGCGATAATGCGTGTTGGGTGCAAGACCTTTTCTCAATGGAAATGTTAGACTCTGGATTTGAATTGGGTTCATATTCAATATTAGAAGACTCAAAACTTGCAGGTAAAGTGAAGTGAAAATGGGGTAAAGGATTAGTGAGGACATTTGTGGATTCTGGGCAGTGCAAAGGATTTGCAGACCCTTTCTTTCAAGTTGTCCTCTATTGCGAGTGGACAATATCAAGCGGTACTACTGTCATAAATTTTTTTTTTTGCTGCCTCTTTATTTTGAACATCATGAGATAATATTTTAAGAATTTCAATATCTAAAAAACTCGACGCAATCTCTCCTGATATAATATCGCTCAAGCTTTCATGTTGAACAGTTAAGGTTGGGGACATACTATTTTGAGGGTTTTCTATTTGAGAAAAGTACTAAAGTTCAGTAGAAAAATATTTGTTTTGTTCCATCCCTTGAAGATAAAGTGAAAAAAGGGTTGAAATTCAAAAATTGTGAAATCCGTGATAGAAAACAATTTCTTAGAATTGTGATCAAAGCATTTATACCCCTTCTAGCTTGGAACATAACGGAAAAACACACATTTTTTCGCTTGGGGTTCAAGTTTTCTTTGATGATGAATTGAATGAAGCAATACACCCAAATATTTTTAAAGGGAGAGAAGATAAGAGCCAATTCTTTGAAAATCTTCTTGAAAAACATCAAAAGATATTTTAAAATTTAAAATATTGTTGGGTGTTCTATTTATGAAAATGTAGCAGTAATAATGGTTTCATCGCAAAGATATTTAAGCACCTGATTGCTAAATAACAACGCCTCAGTTATCTCTAATAAGTGTTTATTTTTTCTTTCAACCACATTATTTTTTTGTGAAATGTTAACACAAGAGCTTTGATGTATTATTCATTTTTTCTTTAAAAGACTCAAAATATTTTTGAAATACTCTCAACCATTATTACTTCATAATATTTGAATGATTTTTTATAATTGTGTGTGTGCTATATTATAAAAGATTTGAAAATTATTCTCTTTCGATTTTTCATTAAGTAAATCCAACTAAACATAGTGTGATTATTAGTGAAACTTACAAATTATTTTTCCCATAATGTATAAGGGTTTTACAAAGACCCATATATAGCTATGAATTAGACTATATGTTGTAGTTGATTTGTATATTTGTAGAGAAAATGATGCACGATAATGTTTAGCGAACTTATACTTCACCTTGAAATAAAGACAGATTTCTATTTTTAAATAATTTGGGAAACAAATTTTTTAGATGCTGAAAATTAGGATGACCTAACTTATAATATCATAATATAATTTTATTATCTTTAGAAATAGAAACCAAATTTAAATTAGTACTTTAAAATTGTCTATTCAAATCAACTCTATTGTCAAAATAATAGAGTTCATCTTTTTCCTTAGCACTGTCAATCATCATTTCCGTGGCCAATTTTTGAAACGAACACCAAGAAGAATAGATGTTAGCTTGACATTAATAATCAAAAATAATTTTACTAATCGACGACAAGTTACCCGATATAATAGGAACATGGAAAACATCACGAAAGGAAGACAGTGAGGAGAGTTTGACAATTCCTATTCAGCGGGAACCATCAGTAATTTTAAATTTTTTATTATCTGCACATGGTCTATAGCAGGAAAATAATTTCGAACAATCAGTCATGGAATTAGTTGCGCTTGAATCAATTATCCAAAAATGAAAAAAAAAAGGAATAACACATAACAGAGTAGTGATTAAAGAGTTACCATTTTGTACTGAAGAGCAAGGCGAAATCAGGGACAATTTTGGAGATCAAAATAATTTGTGCAAGTGCTCTAATTGCTCCTTAGTGAAATGGATTGCATTCGAGTTGGCAGGCGACTATTGAGTTTCTTCAGTAGTTGCTTTTTAAGCTCGACCTTCATGCCTAGATTTTTTATTTTCAATTTGCATGCTTACTATGAAGCTTCCAACATGCCTCCTTCGTGTGACTTGGTTTTTTTTAAATGCTGGCACCTAGTTTTCTTATGCTTTTCTTTATCAATATCCACCCATTTTGACAGCTAACTTCTCCTGTTTAATGTTACAAACAATTCGGTATTGCACAACATGAATGTTCTTCTCGACTATTCGCGTCTAACTTCAGAAAAAACTTCTCGAATCATTGGTAGATGTTTTCTGCCAATGATTCGAACTCATACTTCATCTAAACTCTGATTAAGGCCTTCTAAGAACATGTAGATCCGACCACTTTTCTCTCTCTTCTTGTGATGAGCATAATCATTTGAATTATTCCAAATATCATCATAACGTTGATCAAACTCCTTCCATAATATTACCAACTCATTGTAATTCGTATTAACATCACAATAATTTTATTTGGATTTGCAAAATTGAGTTTTTAACTCAAAAATTTGTGATGTGTTCTCCAAGTCTAGATAGAGATCTCGAACAACCTCCCAAATAATTCGAGTAATGGGAAGAAATAGATGAAGCTTTCCTGTGATAGGTTCTATGGAGTGGGTGAGCCATATCATCATCAAAGAATTTTCAAAATGTTATTGTAATTCGTATTAACATCACAATAACTTTATTTGGATTGGCAAAATTGAGTTTTTAACTCAAAAATTTGTGAAGTGTTATCCGAGTCTAGATAGAGATTTTGAACAACCTCCCAAATAATTCGAGTAATGGGAAGAAAGAGATGAAGCTTTCCTGTGATAGGTTCTATGGAGTGGGTGGGCCATATCATCATCAAAGAATTTTCAAAATGTCATTTTTTCAGGTTCAAATCTCTAGTAGAGTAGCAGTTGGTTTTGAAATCTCTTCGGTTAAATACACAAATTTACTTCTCTCGTTGACCACTAATTTTATGAATTGAGCCCACTCGAGGCAGTTGAGTTCATTAAGTTTTCATAACTATGACGGAATTTGGTAAATTCTAAGGAAAATATTTAGTTGATACAACCATTAGAGGAGTTGT